GCCAATGAGAACGCCAGCAATAAGAGCGATAGTTAAATATTTGTAATTCATATTATTTTTATCTTATTTATTTTTTTTAATTTAGTAATTTAATAGTAATTATTATAATAATAAAGGACTAACGAAAGGACAAGTAGCGCGCTTAATCTGATAACAGGCAGATGATAGGACTATATTTTTACTTTGCTGATGGGCTTCCTCCATTGTTATAATAGCGGTATTTATAAACATAATAAGTTTTCTTTTTGGGCGGGCTGATGGTTAATTCTTTTCAATCATAGAGGCAAGTGAAGCAGATGAATTTATTAGGTAGTTGCGGGTTTCAAAAATTAGTTTGATAACGATTTTTAAGGTAGTAGTTTTTATTGGTGGGAATTTGGTATTGATAACAAAAAGAACAGCGGATTAGGTCGTTATTGATTTGATTTTTGAGGAAGTGGAATAAGCAGTATAATTCAGATGGGAAGAGGGATTTTAGACAAGTTGTTATTAAGCATTTATTTTTTTTCATGTTTTTTTGCTAAAAAATATCGCTTTCCTCCTCACACTTGCGACAATACCCGTCCGCACTCAACAGTCTTAACTCGGAGCAACCCATGCAATAATCTTTTACTCGCTTTTTTCCTTTTTCCTTCCTTTCTTTGGCTCTATCGGCTTTCTCGTAATCCTTCCACATTTGTTCTCGTTCGGCTTCTACTTCGGCTCTTAATGCTCTTTTTTGCTCACAATAAGAACAATGACAATCTTCTTTTCCTCGTTCCTCGTGGTATTTGGCTCTTTGAATTTCTTTTTCGCATTGTTGGGCGGCTTTGGTTTGCTGTTCTAGGGCGGTGGCGAGAATTTTTTCTTTTCTCACTCTTTCCCGGCTTCAATATTTAATTAAGTGCTGTTGCTGGTCGTCGGTTAGATGGTTTCAATGTTCGCCTGCTTTGACTTTTCCGTGGGCGGTATTTCAATAATCCTTGATAAGATGGTCGGCAATTTCTCGCAATTTCATAATTTCCACGATGCTGCTGACGCCTTGTTGGATATCATGGAGAGTTTGTGAGAAATCAGATCATAATTTTTGGCCTTTCTTTAATTCGGTATATTCGGCAAAAGTTATTAGAACCTGAATGCTGTTAGCCTGATAATATTTGTTGAACTGGACTTGGTCTTGATTAGTAATTTGTGCTTTAATTTTTTGACGGCGTTGGCGTTGTTTATCGGTTAAATAAGCCTGCCGGTTTTGATTATATTCTTTTTTTCAAGTCATAGTTAAGAAGGGGTTAAGCGGTTTGTATACAGCCTTATTCTTGTATACAGCCATGATAAAAAGGTTAAATGGTTAATTCAATGTCTTTAACGCTGAAAAAAGTGCCTTGGTTATTTTTGTTGGGAAGTTCTTCATAAGTGATAAGAACGGAGCGGTTAATGAAATTGTAAGGGGCATTGGTGAGGATTTGCCGAGTTTCTTGTGGGAGATTGAAATTAAAAGCGTAAAAATAACGGCCGGGTAAGCCTTGTAAACTAAGGCGGAAGTAAGGGTTATTATTTTTGTCAGATTTAGTTTCTATGTCAGTG